TACAAAGTCCTCGTGACTTATTATTACATGCTATCCTTTTATATGGCATGAATAGAGGGTTGGTTATATAGTCCAAACAAGCCTATAAAGTTGATAGATGTCTTTTACTTGCTCAAACATAAAACAACAACAACAACAAAAACCAGCTTTGACTGGCTTGTGTACAATGCACAGTCCATACTTGTGTTAATACAGATATGGATGTTGGCTCTGAAGGTTTGTGTGTTTTCAGAGCAAGGAAACCAGACACCAATGAAAATGGGTGGCCCAGGTGATCTAGCCTCTCATAGAGTGCCTTGGTTGCGGTTTCCTCAGAGGTCTGAATCAGAACAGCTTCAAGGCTGCCGGCTGAGGTGGTCCAGCCTCACAGACTCCTCCAGCCAGGACTTCAGATAAGCCTTGTACTTTCCAATTGCACAGAGACTGGGCAACAAATGTTATAGCTAGTTTTCTTAGGAATTGACCTCAAATGTCTCAGGGTCCACTGAGGATGTTGTTACCCCCAGACAACAGGCAGTAGTCTAATGAACACAAAACCCACATTCCCAAAAGGTGAGGTGGGTGGTTTTTGGTCACTTTGTGGGTTATAAATGTTTTTCATCATCTAATGGGGATATAAGAATATAGGACAAAATGACAACTATTCTTCTCAAATATTTTACGTTGGTATGAATGTGGGACTTCCAGGCAAGGAGAGTAAGGAGGAGGAGGAATTGAAGTTTAAAAGGAAGAAAGAAAAAGAGACAACAGGGGAATACCAGGTACCAGCCAGACAAACATGGAGGAAGCAGGAAAGTTGGTCATACAGAATGAAAGGTAAAAAGCCCTGAGGTAAAACATAGATGAATAGAAACAGGTTAAATTAAGTTAAAAGAGCTAATCGAACAAGCCTAAGCTAAGGGTGAGCATTAATAAGTTTCTGTGTCTTTATTTGGAAGCTGGTTGGTGGCCAAAGGAAAGCCCCAACTACAGGCTCACTTATATTTTTGTAAGAAGTCGATAACAGTTTCAGTGCTTTGGAATTGACCTGAGCTTCTAGAAGCTGAACTCCTTGCCAGGTGGTCATCTCCACAGGCAGGCCACAGCACATGTATGTGTTCAGGTGTGCATACCTGTTCGTGCACATGTGGGGGTCAGAGCTCGACATCAGGTGTCTTTCTCTACCGCTCTTCATCTTTAGACAAGGCTATCTCACTGAACCTAGGGCTCACTGATTGGTTAAACTGACCGGCCAGGAAGGCCTTGGGATCCTCCTGTGTCTGCCCCTCAACCCTGGGATTGCAGACACCCACCACAACTCCCGTCCTTTCACTTGGATTCTGGGGATTTGAACTTAGGTCCTCAGGCTTACCCAGAAAGTAGGCATCTGATGATCCAGCTCTCTAGACAGTTTGTATCGCTACGTACTCGCCTGACCTAGGTTGGCAGGCAGAGCCCAAGTACTTTATGCTGTAGGGAGGGAACTTGACCCAGTGTGAATTCGGCAGCTCTTGGCAGTTTAAAAGAGAACAGCAATAGTAGTGAATATAAAAGAGAAAACGAATCAAGAGTGTTTGTAACAAACCACAGATGCTTATAATCTCAGCACATGGGAAGACTTTGTTACATAGTCACTGCTGGTCAGGACTACATGAGACTATGTCGCGAAAAATAGCAACAACGAAAGGAATATTACTATAAAAAGAACCCATTACCTCAGTTTTCTGTTGTGTTGGCTGGTTTTATGTCAACTTGACAGAAGCTAAAGTCATCAGAGAGGAGGAAGCCTCGGTTGACAAAATGCCTTCATAAGATCCAGCTGTTAGGCATTTTCTTATTTATTTATTTATTTATTTTAATTTATTATTCTCCTTGGACATACCAGCCACAGTTCCCCCACTTTCCCCTTCCCCATCCCTTCCCCCAAGGCATTTTCTTAATTAGTACTTGATATGGGAGGGTCCAGCCCATTGTGGGTGGTTCCAACACTGAATTGGTGGTCCTGGCTTCTGTAAAAGAGCAGGCTGAGTAAGCCATGAGGAGCAAGCCAGTAAGCAGCTCCCATCCATGGTCTCTGCATCAGCTCCTGCCTCCAGGTTCCTAACCTGCCCAAGTTTCTGTCCTTGCCACTTTAGACGATGAACTATTATGTGGAAGTGTGAGCAAAATAAACCCTTTCCTCCCCAAGTTGCTTTTGGGTGAGGAGTTTCATGACATCTACAGAAACCTTACCTAAGACATCTGTATTTTCAGGATGCCCTCCCCTCAAGTGTTTGAGTCACCGTGTGACTTTCTCTCTTTTGTCAGAGCAGAAAGGTGAGATGAAGTGACTCTAAGGTCCTAAATTTAGAGTTGGGATTATGAAGAAACAGATAGCATGACCCTTGGCAAAGGGTTGTGGGAAAGAAAACCTAGTGGGATACTTAAGTAAAGGACCTGAGTCAGCCGGACACCATGTCAGACCAATGAATGCCACTGAGGGTTCAGAAATGTTCCCTTGAGCTTAACACTGGCTTCCTAGCCAGAGCCCTCATTTTCTTTCCTTAGAATGGATGCGGTGCTCTTTAAAACGACTGAAGACAGGTGGTGATGGCTAGTCAAGTGACAGGACCAGTCTTAACCAAGCGCTCGCATGGCGTTTCACAACGTCGTCATGAGATTAGATGCTATTATTAGTTTTCCAAAGCACGGGGCAACCATCAGCCTCAGCTAGGATGTTGAGTAACTTGCCCGAAGTCACACAGCTAGTCAATGCCAGAGCTAAGATTCAGGCTTCTGGCCGCTGACTCAGAAGTCTGAGTTTTTAACCACAGCTTTGTGCTACTGCCTGGGGGGTCAAGCTGGGGAAACCTGATTGCTGTTATAGACATACATATTACACAAAATATACATTATGGGTATAGATGCATGTGTATTGAAAAGCATTTCGATGAGTGTTTGTATTTCATTCACTCTGAAGCCCAGGCAGGACTTAAATCTGTGATCCTTCTGCCTCAGTTTCCCCAGTAGCTGGGGTTATAGGCCGGTGCCCATATCTCATCTTACTCTCAAACTACTGAATTTAAACATCATTTTTTTTTAAACTAGAAAACTCAATCCTGTCAGCAGAGACAGACAGCAGACAGGTAGGGACCTGAGAGTGGGAGAGGCCTGAAAGACAAAGTGACAGACAGACAGACACCTTGGGGACCGATGAATGTGCTCGTCATATGGCAGGGCTGTCAAGTCATGAACATTCGATATGTGCCGTTTCTTCAGTGTTGGTTCTATGTCATAGGAAGTGTCAGGTAACGAGGGAAACTCAGAGGCCCCACAATGTGCATGGTGCACATGCGTACACACAGGCAAACACACATACAGGCAAAAGAGAAAGTTAAGACTCTTGTCCAAGATTAGCTAGAGAGATGCAAGAAGATACAGCATAACAATCTGTTGTTATTTTTTAATTTTTTGTTTTGTTTTTGTTTTCATTTTGTTTTCTTGACAGTGCCCTGACACTAGCTATATGGACCAGGCTGGCCTCAAAACTCACAGAGATCCACCTACCTCTTCCTCCTGGGTGCTAGGATTAAGGACACGCTCCCCCACACCACCCGCACCGCAACACATCTTCTAAGACTATTGAGTAAAGCCACATGTGTCGGATCTCACTTGTAATCCTGTTCAGGAGACTGAGACAGGAGGATTACTGTGAATTTGACACTAGCTCAGGTTACTTAGTAAGTTCCTGGCTGGCTTGGGCTACAGAGTATCGCTCTGTCTCAAAACAAAACGAACAAAGATAAAAAATATTTCTAGGCCGAATAGGGTATGCCTATAATCTTCGGATTTGGAAGGAAGATCAAAAGTTCAATAAAGGTCATCCTCTGTCTGCTACACAGCCAGTTTTGAGGGCAACTTGATAATATGTGGGACCCTGTCTCTAAACCACACACACACACACACATTTTAAGCTTAGGGAAAAACACCCTTATCCACTGCTGGTGAAGCACAGACTATACAGTCATTATAGAAATCAATTTGGAGGTTCCTCAAAATACAAAAACAGAACTGCCATATGGCCCAGCTGTTCTGCTCCTAGCATACCGTAGCTCAGAGAGCTCCATATCTTGCCATAGTCACACTTGCATATCCATCTTGTCGGCTGCTCTATTTACTATAGCAAAGAAACGGAACCAAAGTAGATGTCTTTCAACAGATGAATGTATAATGAAAATATGGTGTGTGTGTGCCTGTGTGTGTAATGTTACTCAGTTCTAAAGAAAAATGAAGTCACTTAGTCTTCAGAAGAATCAATGAACCTAGAATCTATAGTAATAAATGAGGTCTCCCAATCTCAGAAAAAGGAAAGAAACACGTTCTCTCTCAAACATGGATCTTAGCTAAATGTGTGTGTGTGTGTGTGTGTGTGTGTGTTTTGTGTATCAATGCCTGTAAGTTTGGATATAGTATAACACTTAGAAAGAAGACCAAGAATGGAAAATAGTCATAAAAGAGGACGTAAATCTATGTTTTATTCTCTTTCTTTTGTGGTGGATAAGTATGTAAATTGTAGCTGAGCTGATCACAAAAGTGTAAAACCCAAAGTGAACCTCCCAGCTTCAGAATGCCCATTCCAACTGTACAGAAGTTCCCTGAGCTACACAGAGGTTAGCCTGGGCAAGTGAGTAGCTGCCTTGATCTAGCTGTGTGATATTTCTATTTGTGAATTCATGACAACGAAGTGAATTTTATTATAAAAATAAGGAACACTTCACAAATTTGCATGTTTTCTTTCTACAGGGGCCTTGCAAATCTCTGTATTGTTCCAATTTTAGCATACGTACTGTCAAAGTGAGGGTCCAACATAGTTTCCGTTTATTTGTTTGGTTTCTTTAAACATATATTTTCATTTTATGTGCAGGGGTTTGGCCTGCATGTTTGTCTGTGCACCATGAGCTTGCCCAGTGTCCATGGAGGCCAGAAGAGGGCATCAGATCCGGAGTTACAGATGGTTGTGAGCCATCACGTGGGTTCTGGGAATTGAACTCAGTCCTCTGGAAGAGCAGCCAGCGCTTTTAACCACTGAGCCATCTTTCCAGCCCTGCAATGTATTTTAAAAAGGTAAATACACCTCTTCAGAAGCTTAGCTTTATTAAATATGATCAATCTGTTGGGAACTTTAAAAAAGAAATTCTGTACTTATATGGCCAGCAGGGGGCAACTAAATACTTGGGAAAAAAGCACCCTGCGTAAGGAAAAAAGTTAAAATTAGGATTGTCTGTTGGCATTGTGCTGTGCGAGACAGCTGAGTGCTTTTTAAAATGGTAATTAGCACCTAGGCACACATTCACACTTGGAATTTGTGAAAATAATTGAGCACTCTTAAGCAGACAGATTATAAAACCACATGCTAAGGCCTGTCTGTGCTACACTGCTTGGGTTTTCGGTATTCAAGTGTGTCTACCTTGGTTTTATATTTTATTATAACACATTTGAGAATTTAAAAAGAAATAACAACTATAAGACAAATCAGAACCTTGGTGAGTTATTAAATACAAAAATTCTGAAAGTAGAATATCATCCAGTGTGAGACACATCTTAGCGCTGTTCATATGTGCACAACCGTGTGCACACAGGCACATCCCGCTCTGCCGCTCAGTGTGATTCGCATCTTAGCGCCGTCCATATGCGCACAGCCGTGTGCACACAGGCACACCGGGCTCTGTCTCTCCCTCAGACTGACTGTCTCTGCCCACAAGGGAGCCTGCCAGAGCTCTCTTCCTGATAGTTCTGCGTGGTTCAGGACACTTAGACATGGGAAGAAATTGGCTCCTAGTGCACCTCCACCGTGCACCTGTCCTGCCAAGGCACCTATTGCCACGCTCTGGGGAACTTCTTCAGCCCGTTTCCAACTACACAAGAAAGAAACTTGTCTCGTTATTCTTTCCTTTTTTAAAAAAGCCAATTTGCATTTGCCTATCCCCTTATTTGAACATGAACTCTAAAAATGACCTAGGAACCAAATTATGTTTTTATGCTGTTAAGATCATTACAATGCTGCCCAGTCTTCAAATGCCACAGAAGGGGACAGTTTCTGCAACGAGATGGGGGTGGTTCACGTTCAACTCTTTGTGGTCTGACCACCATACAATCATACAACCTGCATGTCATTTGATCATACAGCCAGAGCTGGAATGCAGCTGTTGGCTTCTCTTCCTCCTTGCAAACCAATTATCTCCTATTGTCTACTTTACGCCTTCTGGTCCAGCATGCTGAAGGTGAGTGAGTCCTTTCCAACCAAAGGTGTCAAGTTATTTCTCTCCTGTGGTGACCCTGGCCCTCAGGTGACTCTCCCATCTCGGGGAGCGGAGTCCTCTGCCATCAGGGAGGGGAGCCTTCTGCACTTGCAGAGCCAGTAGAGACTTGGGGAGCCGGCCTAGTCACACATTCATTCACACGCGGAATCTGTGAAAATAAAAGAAACACTCTTCTAAGAAAACAGACTGTAAAACCACATTCTAAGGTCCATTTGAGCTAGAGTTTGGGGGTTGGACTTTCAGTATTCCACTCTTCTAAGAAAACAGTTTATAAAACCACATTCCAAGGTCTCTCTGGACTAGAGTTTTGGGGTTGGACTTTCAGTATTTTATATCTTTATAACTAACTGATTGTTTTTTAACTTCCTGTATTACAGAAAGAATAATAAAGATCACCTTGTTTCCGTAGGGTGTTCTAGGACTGTCCTGTGTTTCACTAGGTTGTCTAGGGTTAAAGGAAATGGGGGTTTTCTTGACGCACAAAATGCCTTACTTAAGACGATTCAACTTCATGATTTTATACTTCTCGCTGGTGGGATAGGGACATTCATTCAGTAGGAACCATACTTAACTAGCATGTGGGAGGCTCGGGCCTGAATCCTCAGCACCACAGAAACAAACCCATGCCTCAGGTTTTGAATTTGGGCTTCTCCCAGGGCTCATGATATAGAACACAATTCTGGCCCATATTACACAGCGGCTGTTGGGTACGTAACAAAAGCTCTCCGTACACTGCTAAGTGACAATGACCAGAAGGTTAGGTACATTAAATGTACTTAAAATATTTCCAACTTATCTCTACCTGGAAACAACCCTACTGTATCATAGCTGAAAAGATGGCCCCGTGGTTAACAACACTTGGCATTTTTGGAAAAGACCCAAGTTCAGTTGCCAGCCCTCACGTTGGGGGGGGGGGGACTCACAACTTGCAAACAAAAATCTTTGAAAAAAGGGAAGTATCCGAATCATTTTCTAGCCTTCTTTGAGGAGGCTAACTTTATGTCCTTATCAACATATCACATGCAATGAGCTTCGTTGTGATATTTCCATACATGTCCATAATGCACTTCGCTTATATTCACCCCATTACTCTCACACCCCCCCCACTTATCTCCATCCTCTGCTCAGTTTGTTACCTTTGACCTTTCATGTCCCTGTCCCCCAGCCCCTGTGAGTTGCTTTAAGTGTTGCTCCCAGAGGCACGGGTTAAGTGCATGTTTTCAGTGATACGGACGCCTGCCCGGTGAGTACACCACTAAAAAAATATTTCTGTCTTAGCAACCACGAACTGTGGATCCCCCGGTGCAGGTGGGACCCTGTAAACCCTCTTCTCTCATGATAGACTCAGTCATGTGCAGGTCTTAGGTGATTCTTCCCAGTTACTGTGAGCCCAAGAGTGATACAATCACGCCACTGCCTGGAACACAGTCTTCCACAGCTCCACCTCATCCTTTGACCTGTACCATACAGAGACTAGTTTTTAAGCCTTTCCATAGAAACCAAACCAATAAAATATATACATGTGGCTGTTTAGGGATGAGTATTTATTTTATAGAATTGGCACACGTAACTGTGGTGACCTATTAGGGTTTCAGTTTGAGGCAAAAGATCCTCGCAGAATTCCTTCCTGCTCTGGGAAGGTCGGTCTTTAATGTAATAAGATTGTCAGTCAGTTGGATGAGGTTCAGTTACATTATGAAGGGCAATCTCCGCGTTACCCAAAGTCCACTTATTTAAATGCTAATCTCTTCCAAAAACACCTTCACAGAAACATCCTGAGTAATGTTTAACCAAGTATCTGGGCATCATGACCCAGCCAACTTGGTATACAAAATTAAGCACCACAGTTGTTTCACTTGTTTATATCACAGTCAAAAACCTGGAAATGCTTCTTCATGGTCAGAACGTCCAAGCCCCATCCAGGCTTAACTGCTATACCAGAACAAAGACCGTCCAGCAAGTGTATGCTGATTTTCAAACCGTACGTGAGGCTGGCAAGACAGCTCCCTAGGTAAACGAGCTTGCTCCCAAGCCTTATAACCTGATTTCATCCCTGGGACATGCGTGGTGGGAGGAGAGGCTGCAGTTGTCTTCTGACTTCCACGTGCACTCTGTGACATCATGCTCGCTCTCTTGCTCTCTCTCCCTCTCTGCACTGTCATTCATTCTCTCTCTCTCTCTCTCTCTCTCTCTCTCTCTCTCTCTCTCCTCTGCACTGTGGCCTTCATTCTCTCTCTCTCTCTCTCTCTCTCTCTCTCTCTCCTCTGCACTGTGGCATTCATTCTCTCTCTCTCTGCACTGTGGCATTCATTCTCATTCATTCTCTCTCTCTCTCCCCCCCCACTCTCTCCTCTGCACTGTGGCATTCATTCTCTCTCTCTCTCTCTCTCTCTCTCTCTCTCTCTCTCTCTCTCTCACACACACACACACACATACACACACAGTATGGACTGAATTTATATGATTGAATTAAATATCCCCGGAGGTTTTGGGGTTCTGCCAGCCTTCCGGTGTGGTACTGGTGGACAAGGAAATATAAGGATGAAGGGAAAGCTCTGGTTGGATCATGCAGCATCACCTCCTGGCTCCCCAGCTAACCCTCTGTGCAGTTTGGATGAGTTATTTGTCTTGGATGTAACGCTCCATTTCCTCACCTGTACAGAAAGAACAACAATAACTCTACTCGTGGTGCATTTTGCTTCATTAAGCAGCGCTCACTGCTCTTCGCCGTGTGCACGCAGTGGGCTGGCATCGTTCAGTGCTCCTGCAAGCTGACGAAGCTATGGGACTCAATCTTATGGGTGAAATATTACAGAACTGACATGTATCAGTTGGGTATGGTATCCATACTGGTGCTCCCCGCACTTAGGAGGTCGGAGGCAGGAGGATCAAGAGTTCAAGATCATCCTTCTCGGCTTCATGAGTTTTCCAGGTCATGTACTACAGGGGATGCTCTTTCAAACAACAACAACAACAACAACAAACAAAAACAGAAACAAAACAAATATGCCTCCCCAACCCCCCCAAAAAGAACAACCAAGAAAAGAATTGACATGTGTCGCTTTCAGGCTGAGCTAGTGAAAGGCCAAAATGAGTTCCCAGGAGCCTTCTTCCTGGCTTACCTTCCCTTGACAAATGATTCATGTAAAGACAGCAGCACTAGCTGGGTATGGTGGTTCATCCTTTGAATCCCAGTGTATTCAAGGCAAATGTAGGTGGATCTCTGTGACTTCCAGGCTGGCCTGGCTTACATATAGAGTTCCATGGCCAACTAGGACTACATAATGAGACCCACTGTGGGTTTTTTTTTTTTAAGCTTTAGTAGGGGCTGGTGAGATGACTCAGTGGATAAATGTACTTGCTGAACAAGCCTGATAATCTGAGTTCAATTTCCAAAGCCCAAGACAAGGTAGGAAGAGAGAACTAAATCCACAAAATTGTCCCACGACCTTATATATGCATTGTGGCACAAATACCCCCATACATGTTGTGCGCACACATAATAATCATAAAAAATCCACCAATAAATTAATTAATTGAATTAAAAAATATAGAGGCCAGGCATGAAGGTGCGTGCTTGCAATACCATCTATCTGGGGGGCGGAGGCAAGAGGGTTGCCACATTCAAGGCCAGTCTGGGCAACTTGCCCAGATCTGGTTTCTGAATAAGATAAAAAGAAATGAGGAAGGTCTAGAGATGCTATCTAAGAGATAGCGTGCTTACTCAGCATGAAGAAGGCATTGGATTTAATTCTCGGTATAGAGAAAATATTTCCACGGATCGTAGGAGGCTGGGGCGATGACTCAGTAGGTGATCTTGTTTCAAACAATGGGGATGAAACCCACAGGGTGGCCCCGCAGGTAAAGCACTTGCTGTGAAAGCTGGATAACCCAAATCAATCAATTCCCAAACCCAGGTAAAGGTGGAAAGGGAGCAACCAAGCCACAGCATTGTCCTCTGACCTCCACACAAGTGCTGTGGCACCCGTGTGCTCACGCATGTCTATCACATACACACATGCACACACATACACTGTAATCTGCGTTCAAATAGGAAGGTACAGAGAAAGTAGGAGAGAAGAAAAAAGAGAAGGAGGAAGAGAAAGAGGAAAGGAAAAAACAATAGTCTGGGGTTATAGCCCAGTGGCAAAGCCTAGGGTATGTGGGGTCCTGCTGATCAATCCATAGAACCATCCCCACCACAAAAGAAAAAAAATTATAAAAACAAAACTCAAACCACAACAGAAAAACTTGCTGCTCTTACTGACAAAGCTGCTTCAACAACATAGCTCCCATGTACAGCGACAACCATTCAAAAAATAATAATTTTCCTTAAGAACTAATGGGCACTGTGTGTGATGCTGCATGCCTTTAGTCCTAGCATGCAGTCAGCAAAAGCAGGAGGATTACTGCGAGTTCCAGGCCAGCTTAGTCTACGTAGAAAAAGCGAAATTCAGGAAAAAAAAAAAGAAGAAAGGAAGGAAAGAATTTAGAAAAAATGGGGTGATTGATCAACTCAGATAGTAGACAGACATGTGTAGAACCAACTTGTTTTACAGTTGGCAGCAACAACAGAAAGAATGGGAGTTAGATCTCCTTCTTTAGTAATGAACCAGCCTGCCTTCATCTTGGGCTTGAAAGTCATCTTACAGTAAAGACAAACTAGGTTCATTCCTGTTCATGGTTAAAGCTCTGTTTCTTGAGGATTGGGCTATGTCCCACCTGTAACCTTAACTACAAATGGTTCTGTACTGCCTGTTCCAGGAAAGAGCAACTGTGCCTTTGTTTCAAAAAGTTGCCACCATCACTTTGTAACCCTACCTTTGCTTCAGGAGGTTGTTATGACCTCCTTGTTATGACAACTTTGTTATACTCTGCTTCTGTAACCCAGTCTATATGCCTTCTCAGCCCCAATTTGGAAACCCTCTACTCCTGTCCTCAAACTCCCAGAGATCTTCCTGCCTCTGCCTCTCGAGTGCTGGGATTAAAGGTGTGCACCATCACTGCCCATTGGGGGAGGGGCGGACCCTTTGGTTTTACATTTGAGCAAGGATGTGTGAGGTGACATAACTAGCAAGCGGTAGAGGGCAGGATTAGAACTAAGATCTGGTTAACTTTTGACTGGGAGTTCAACTCCTTTACAATATAACATGCCAATCAATCAATTAAATATGGCTTAACATATGTGTTTGTGTGTGTATGTATGTGTGTGTGTGTGGCGGGACATGCGTATAGTCACAGTCCACATCTGGGAGGTTGAGGAAGGAACCTGGAGAATAAGAGACTTCCTCATCGGCTACATAGTGAAACACTATCTAAAAAAAAAAAAAATTATATTAGTGAACTTCATGGTATCAAAAGGTTTTGAAAAAAGATTTTCATTGGCCCTAATAAGACCAACTTCCAACAGCTTCTGAGTTAGCATTTTTTTCACTTAACCCAACAGGGACATCCATGCATAAAATCAAAGTGCAATCAAAGTGCAGTTCTTGTCAAACATTTGCACTGGAAAAATAAAACATTAACTGAACACTTTTTTCCTTCTTCGAATGACAGTAACCATTTAAGGAGAGGCCTAAGCTTGCACTTGATGGGTTTTGCTACTTTTTAAGAATTTGACAGCTGTGCATTTGGAAGCTGTTCAAATTCTATTTGTGGCCAAATCACGGAAACAAAAGAGTCTCTACATCTATTTCTTCATATCTCTAGAGTAATCTGTGTTTGTAGATTGCCTGGTGTACTTTTGAACATATTAGTGTGTTCAGTTACCATAGTTCTTCTGCAATGTTTGCACTCTTTATTTATTTTTTTAAAATGGATATGATGAAGAGGCAAAGCTTTTCATAACTATATTTGGTTAAGGATAAAAAATAATATAATTATAGTGTATCCTTCATGTGACTGACCTCCATGTACAGAAAATAAATAACATACCTCCTCACCAAGTAAGAAACCCAAGAAACCACACACACACACACACACACACACACACACACACACACACACTCCACGTATAAAGGCTGGAAATGTATCTTAGTTGGCTAACATGCACGAGGCCCTAGCACTGTTTAGGGGAGATATGGTGGCAAGAGCTTGTAAAACCAGCACTTGGGAGATGGAGGCAGGAGGATCAGGAGATCAAGGTCATTTACTGCCACTTAGTAAGCTTGAGGCTACCCTGGGCGACATGAGACCCTTCTCAACAAAAAAACATGCAACCATGTATGATCACCACATGTAGTTTCTTGGTATGATCCAATTTCTAGGCAGTATTAAAACTTCCCTGATTGTTTCGGTGTCTTTCTATTTCCCCTGCTTTTCGCTGCTATTTTGAGACAGTGACTGATGTAGCCCAGGCTGCTCTCAAACTCACTGAGTGGCAGAGGATAGCTCTGAACTCTTGCTCATTCTGCCTCCAGCTGGGCGGTGCTGGAATTATAGAAGGGCACCAGCACTTCAGTTTTACTTGTTCTATTTTTCTTTCTATTTTTTTTTTCTGAAATAACACTTTAATCTATAGTCTAAGCTGGCTTAAAAGTCCCTGTGTAGCTCAGGCCGATCTCAAACTCCAGGTGATCCTCCCATCTCATTCTTCTAAGTGCTAGTATTCTAGGTTTGGGTGCCATTCACGAAAAAACAGTCTGTTTGAACCGGGATCTAATAAAAGTTCAGACACTGCATTTAGCTGACGGGTCTGATGAATCTATTTCAATTGCAGCAATAATACTTTTTGTCCTACCTCTACCTCTCAAGTGCTGGGATCCCAGGTGTGTAGCACCCTCCTGGTGTAGGTGCTGGGATCCCAGGTGTGTAACACCTTCCAGGTAGGTGCTGGGATCCCAGGTGTGTAGCACCCTCCTGGTGTAGGTGCCGGGATCCCAGGTGTGTAGCACCCTCCTGGTGTAGTGCTGGGATCCCAGGTGTGTAGCACCCTCCTGGCGTAGGTGCCGGGATCCCAGGTGTGTAACACCCTCCTGGCGTAGGTGCCGGGATCCCAGGTGTGTAACACCCTCCTGGCATAGGTGCCGGGATCCCAGGTGCGTAACACCCTTTTGGTATAGGTGCTGGGATCCCAGGTGTTTAGCACCCTCCTGGTGTAGGTGCTGGGATCCCAGGTGTGTAGCACCCTCCTGGTGTAGGTGCTGGGATCCCAGGTGTGTAGCACCCTTCTGGTGTAGGTGCTGGGATCCCAGGTGTGTAGCACCCTCCTGGCGTAGGTGATCACACACTTGCATGTTATACACGTACTTTACCAACTGAGTTATGGCTTGAGCCCTATAGTGTTTTTTGTCTTTTTCTTTTTTTCCCCAATAAAGTCTCATTATGTAGCATAGGCTGGCCTAGAATTTGCTGTGTAGACCAGGATGGACTCAAACTTACAGTGATCTTTCTGCTTTGATCTTCCAAGCGCTGGTGATAGAGGTGTACATGCATCTGTCATGTTTTTAACTAATAAAGGTCATTTTGCTCTAGAATTTTCTCTGCCCTCACTTTAGATACGGCCAAATGGTATATCTTAGCAATTAAAAAAAATAAAGGTAGCTGTTTAGATGTAAATAATGTTTGGTCAAAGATTTGGCTAATTGGAAAGTGAAGTTAGTAACGTTCCTCGATCGCTAAATGTCTATGGAGTAGTGATCTCTAGAAAGGAATTGACATTCAAAGGTAGTTTTGAGGTGGAGATGGTGGCCCACATCCTGTAATCAAGAAGTTGGAAAGCAGAGGCAAGAACATCAGGAATTCAAGGTCACCTTCAGCCACACAGTAAATCTGAAGCCATCCTGAGCTCCATGAGACAAATCTCAAAAACAAAACAAAGCAAAAAACAGTGGCCAGAGAGATAGATGGCTCATCTGTTCAGAATATTTACTGCCCTTGAAAGAAATCCAGTTCCCAGCATCAGTACCCGGTGACCCACAATTGTTTCTAACTCCAGTTCCGATAGACAGTCAACTCTATGACGTCTGATGGTACCACCACTTCAAGGTGCCCATGAACTCAAGCAGGGACACACACATCCACATTAAAACAAAACAAAACAAAAAACACCTGAGGAGAACAAAAGAAGGATGAAGTTCTAAGTGGGGTGCTTATTAACCACAGTCTATTTCCATAGAGTATTTTGTAGGCCTGGGGTTGGGAGTCGAATTAAAGCCGTGCACGTGAGACTAACAGGCAAAAGAAGGACCTCTCTAGAGAGCCACTGAAAACAGAGGCGAGAGAGTGTCGGCAGAGTCCGGAGGAGAAGGATGAGCCCTGAAGGCATTCATTAAAGGGGTTTTATTGGAACATAAAGTGTCTTTCTCGGGCCAATGAGACGGCTCAGTGAGCCAAGGTGCTTGCCTCTAAGCCTAAGAAGCTGATGCGATCCCTGGGGCCCACAGGTTGGAAGAAAAGAACCCAATCCTTCAAGTTTTCCCCAGATTTCACTTGGGTTTGGGAGGGTAAAAAGACACCTGCAAGATCTGGTAGAAGGCGTGGAGGGTTGTCATTGTGACAGGCGAAGAGACGGCAGCTCCTTGGTAATTTTGCAAGCCTGCATGGCGCGCTCGCTCTCAGAGAATAATGCGAACGAGCCTTGAAACTCGCAGTTTTTAGGGCTGCGGCTTCTTGCTCGCTTAGCATTTATTTCAGAACAAAGGTAGAAGAACATACAAACGTTTGATAATTGTGTGTGACTAGGATGAGTCTAGGACTCGGTAAAATCTACAGCTTCCGAAGTTGGAAGAATTATATCCAACATGGCTTATAAAATCGAGACTTCTCAGTAGCTAATAGGTTTGTAGAAATACAGATGGGAGAAACTAACTGAAACAGTCTAATATTTTTAGGCACAAACTAGGATATAAGTAATATGAACATTTTATCTATAGTGAAGGATACAGGGGCTAGAGAGACGGCTCGGTTAGTAGATTGTTTGCTTAGTATGCACAAAGGCTTGAGCATGATCATCAGCCCTGAATAAACTGTCCTTAGTGACACGTGTCAATAGCCTTAGCTCTCAAAAAAATGTAGCCATGAGGATCAGAAGTTCAATGTCAAGCTTGACTGCATATTGAATATGAGGCCTTTCTGGGTTACTTGAGATCCTTGCCTCAAAAATCCAAGAGAGAGAGAGACAGAGAGAGAGAGAAAAGGAGGGAGGGAGGGAGGGAGGGAGAGAGAGAGAGAGAGAGAGAGAGAGAGAGAGAGAGAGAGAGAGAGAGAGAGGTGTCATTTGGGCATTCTACAGAGATTATAGATCTGGTTTTATCAATAACGTATTAAGAAATAGGCAAAGTTTGAAAATTCTAGAGGTATATAGGCAAAAGAAGTAGGGCTTTGATTTAGAAAAAAATGCAAGGTGGGGCTGGAGAAATGGCTCAGTAGTTATGAGCACTGGGCTGTTCTTCCAGAGGACCTGGGTTTGAGTCCCAGCATCCACATGATGAAACACAACTAACCTGTAACTCTAGTTCCAGAGGCTCCCATTCTTTCTTCTAGCTTCCACAGGCATTGCACACATGTGGTGCTCGGGCATACATGCAGGCAAAACATCTGCACACATAAAACAAAAAGAAAATCAGGCTGGGCGTTGGTGACACACCCCTTTAATCCCAGCACTCTGGGGAAGCAGAGGCAGGTGGATCTCTGTGAGATCAAGGCCAGCCTGGTCTACAAGAGCGAGTTCCAGGAAAGACTCCAAAGCTACAGAGAAACCCTGTCTCAAAAAAACGGAAACAAAACAAAACAAAAAGAAAATCTGAAAAGATTCCAAGTGCCTAGTGTGGTGGCACCTTTGATCTTAGCAATTGAGAGGCAGAGGCAGGTGGATGGATCTCTGTGAGTTTGAGGGCAGCCTTGTCTACAAAGTGAGTAACAGACCAGTCAGGGCCTCATAGTGAGAGACTCTTAAAAAAAAGAAAGAAATTGTAGAGAGCTGCGTGGAGCCGCGCCTTTAAGATGGCGCCGGCTGCCGCCCTCCGGGACAAACAACTCCTTTTATGGTTATGGCCTGTAACTTGCTATGATCTTGTGTCGCTTGCGTATGCTTGAGCCTATGGGCGATGTCCACGTGGCACTCCGGGATAGGCGACCATAGCCTATATAAGGGCTGGGAGCAGTCTGCCTGGGGAGAGAAATGAGAGAGAAGCGAGAGAAGCCATTGTTCAAGGTTCTGAATAAAACTGCGTGCAAGAAGAGCTCCGGTGTCGTGTCGTCCTTGCAGGTCGAGGTGGCGGTCATGACAAGAAAGGAAGGAAGGAAGAAAGGAAGAAAGAAAACAAGCAAACAGAAACCCTCTAAGTACAATTTATTTGCACTAGAGTCAATTGCAACTTAATTATTTTGTCACGCTTATCCTGTGTTTATATATCTTTTTGAGATATTCCAATGTGTAGTGGCGTTTGGGATAAGCTGCTTTTCTATCTGCCATCCTAGAACTGAAAAAAAAAAACATATTTGCAGCAGGGAATGTCTACATCATCTACGTAATCACCCGAGAAAAAAAAAAGAATTCTTGGTCTTTTTGTTTATTTTATTCATTTGCGATGAAGTCTAACTTGTAGCCTTGGGTGGCCTGGAACTTGTTATGTGGACTGGGCTGACCTTGAACTTTAGGTGATTTTTCTGCACCTGTTTCTAGAGAACTGGGGTTAGAGACAGAAGCAACCATACTCGGCTTTGTATTCTTTTTAGAGTTCAGGATGTCTTGTAAGTTGAATTAAAACTCAGGAGTCAATCTTTATATTTTGTACCTAAATTTCTAGCTATTTTGGGGCAAGCTGCTAAAACTTAGCATACCTAATTTCAAGTAGGCAATGTGGGTGGAAAGAGTAGGCGGAGCTTTTCAATAAGCCTTAATTGTTCTTAAGCTGTGAATGCATAATTATGTAATTTGTTATGATGAATTTTCCTTTTTAGACTTCTGCGGTAGGAACCATTAATGCGCACGTGAAAATCATATAATTCTGATTTCTATGGCTTTATATCATCAGCTCCTAAATATATACTAATTACTGACTGTATAATAAATCTTCTTCACTGGGACACTGGGCAAATTTGAAATGAGAATGTCATTATGAAGAAAAACACTTAAAATGTCAGAGTAGCACAGCTATTTCCGAAGAGAACACCTAGAGAATATTAATATAATTTTGCCTATGTGGATGAGAGAGAAGAGAAAGCAAGGGGCAGTGTGCAGCAGTTTGACTTTTTAAGTCATATGCCAGACAGAAAGATATAGAAAAACATAAACTACTTGGATGAGGTCTATTTAACAATAGGTGGGGAATGAGAATCTGGTTAGATCTATTTCTGATAGCAGACATTTTCTTAATGTCACTTTATACTTTTGAAATTATTGCTAAACCAACTTTTAAAAATATTATGATTTTGTACAGTGAACATTTTTAGAGTTTTATAAATATTGGGGTGGGATTTAGACTTATTGACACATTGCTTGGTTTTTGAGTATGAAGCTTTGGGTTCGATCCTTAGCATTCGAGAAGTGTCTATAATAGTAACACTCAGGAGACTGGAGGATCAGGTCTTTCTCAACTGTGTAGTGAGTTCAAGGCCAACATGAATACCTAAGACTCTGTCCCCGAAAGAATTAAAAAAAGAAACTGAGAGGGGTGTGGAGACACACACAGAGGTAGGTGAATCACTGTGAGTTCAAAGCCAGCCTGTTCCAGATAGAGTTCCGGGCCAGCTAGGGCTACACAATGAGACCCTGTCTCAAAATACTAAAACAAAAAACCAAAAAAACTTTTAAAGGCTTACTATTACTTATATGTATGAATGTTTTGCCTGCGTGTAACTATGGGTGCCGTGCCTGTCTGGTGTCCTTGGAGGCCAAAGGAAGACGTGAAATCTGGGGCTGGATTTACTGACAGCTGTAAACCATCACATGGGTGCTGGGAATGGAAACCTGGTTCTCTGGAAGGGCAGCTAGCACTGTTAACTACTGAGCCATCTCTTCAGCCTTGACTGTCAAAAATATTTGTCACTTCCAATGTTCTTTATTCTCAATTCTCAGGCCTTTCATTTTGGATCTTTTCTTTTTCTAACTAAATTAATTTCTTTAGGTTTTCCTTTAAGGCCCATGTTTGCAACTTTGCTGTAAATTCTGTCTTTGCTTTTTCTAAGATGCTTTTTTTTATTTTTGCAATATTAGGGTTTTTGTTTTGTTTTCAGTGTGAGGGGTGGAAAACTAGGGCTTTGCTACCTTGAGTCAAGTAGCTCTACTTCTAGCTACATCCACAGACTGTGTATTTGAAACAGGCTCTCACCAAGTTGCCCAGGCTGACCTTGAACTCACTGTGTAGCCCAGGCAGGTCTTGAATTTATAATCCTCCTGCTTCAGTCTTCCAAAATCACTGGGATTATAAGTTTCTACCATCACTCCTACCTAGCCTCCTTCTTGAAAGAGCTCTTCAAGGTGTCTTAGAATTAAGGCTGACAGGTTTTTGTTTTGTTTTGGGAGGTCTCGTTATAAACCCCGGCAGGCCCCAAACTCACTAGGTAGCCCAGGCTGGCCTCCACCTTGCAAGCCCTCCTGCCTCTGTGCCTCTGTCACTGAATACTGGGAAAGTGGACATGGTTCACTACACCCAACTAGTCATTTTCTTTTAGCCAATTGAACATATCCCACAGTCTTCTGGTTTCTCTTGCTGCTGATAAAACAGTCTTTTCTTCGTCACACTGAAGGCTTTGGTTTTAGTATTCTGCAGCTTCACTGTGGTGTATCTAAGTGCGGATTTATTGTTCTTCAAATCGCTTAGGATTTGGAGAGCTTCCTAAGTCTGTGCGTTGGAGTCTATCATCAGTTCTGAAAAGTTCTCAACCATTATCTTGTCAAACATTGCTTCTGCTTATTGTCTTTTTGCTTTTCTTCCAAAACCATAATTAGATTTATTTTAAATCTCACAATGTCTTCAATTGTCACTTAGATTCTCTTTCGTATGCATTTCCTATGCAGTTACAAGGACGTCTTTTTGTTTTTGTTTTTAATTTAAAATTTTAAGAAACTTCTCTTTCTCCCTTTCCCTATCTCTGTGTGTATGATGTGTATATTATGATGAGTGTGTGTGTAGGTGTGTGCACATGGGTGCTGGTGCCCTCAGAAGCTAGGCGTGATGGAACTGAATTCAGGTCTTCAGCAAGAAGAATACACACTCTGACCTTCCAAGGCGCTCCTCTCTCCCCAGTCTTTTTGGTTTTGTAGAAGTTCTCAGGTAGCTCAAACTGAATGGCCTTGAACTCTTGATCCTCCTGCCTTCCCCTCTTGAATGCTGGTTTCATGGTCAGGTGCTATCACTGCAAATCTTTCTTGTGGCATTGGGATACTTCTTTATTTCTGTCTTCCATTCTCTATGTTCTGTTTTACCAGTGTTAAATAAATTATTACACCTCTTCATTGATTTTTAAGATATTGTTTATATTTTAGTTCCTTAAATTCTACTTAGCAGTCTTTGAAGATAGCTCAGTCTGGGAAGGTTCTTGTCCTGTTAGCCCGAGTGTTAGGAATAATTCTTAAGAGGAGCCTCTCTGCCCATGCAAATAATTCCAATCAGACCAAATTAGACCGAATAAAAGATGCCCATGTTAAATGCAACGCTCCTGGTGGCCATGAGTATGGCGAGGGTTGGAGAGAGAAGGAGAGACCAAGCAAAACTTGAGACAATGTGCTTCTTTTTTGGGCAGCAGCCTAAATAACCTGTGGGAGTGGTCCTAACCCTCCCTGGGGAGGGGGTCACTGCTTGGCAGGCTTTCCTGGAGGTGGAGTCCGGACCAAGGCAACTCCCAAGGGGAAGGGGTTTCCAAAGATGGAGCCCGGGTATTACAATGAGGACTTGAATTCAATCCCCACGACCCACTTAAAAAATATGCTCAATTGTAATCCCAATGCTGAGGAAGCAGAGACAAACAGACCCCTGGGACTTGCTGGTCAGCCAGTTAAGACAAATCATTGAGCCTCAGGCTACTAAGAGACCCTATCTCAAAAAAACAAAGTGGATGGCTCCCGAGGAGTTACTCCTGAGGCTGTTCTCTGACCTCTTTATGCACGTGCACCCTTATGTGCCTTGTGGTAGCTTGAATGTAATCGGGGCCCCATAATTGCTGTAGGAATTCCTACTGCCAGGAGCTTTTAAGTTACCCACCCACTTGGGCATGGCCTCTTATACTATTTTATGCTGATGTAAAGCATTGTCCGGCCTCTTTTGTGGCTGCTGGGATTTGGTTGCCGTTCTTCGGTACAGCAGGATTGTGACTTGTGAGTTTACCCCTCAATAAGTAACCCTCTATTATTCTCAATTTTGAGTTAGTGTGGGATTTCTTTTAAGTGTCCTTCTTCATCTGGTGCCCCACATGGGTTTGTACTCCACACCTACCGGGTGGATGGCCTAAGGGCGTCCTTCTTCACATACTCTCACAGGGAGTTGTACTACTAGGAGGTGTGGCTTTGTTGCCTTGTTGGAGGAAGTGAGTCACTGTCGGGGGCGGGCTTTGAGGTTTCCTATGCTCAGGATACCGCCCAGTGTCTCAGTCTACTT